AATCTACTTGGTCAAAAGGAAGTTAACCAAATTAATACTTTCCAATTACATCCAAGCAAAATCCACAACACTCCACATCAGTTTCATCCCTATAAATATGCCACCAGAATTGCCATTCAACATCAAACACCAGATTCCATAATCCAAGAAACAAAAAGAAAAAAAAAATAGGAAAAAAAAAAGGAAAAAGAAAGGAAGTTATCCAAACCCACAGATTCATCAACCAATGGCAGCCTCAAAGTCTTATCTTGTTTTACCTTTACTCATGGTAATATCAATCTCGAACCTCCACGCCAGCTGGGGGGCCCGCAATCTGTTGCAAACTTCTCAACCGACACAGCCCACAATGCCTTCACTGCCTAAGCCCACACTGCCACTGCCCACCATCCCATTGCCGACACTACCAACAAATCCATCCCTTCCGCAGTTGCCAACTTTGCCTACACTTCCTACCGCCATTCCTAAGATGGCTCTGCCTCCACAGCTTGCAGCCTCACTTCCTACTATGCCTTCTTTCCCCAACCTCCCGACTGCAATTCCCTCTCTTCCTTTCCTCTCATCACCGCCTTCGAACTAGTTTGTGCCACGTCAGCATTCGACTGCTTTGTCGTTTCACTGCAGCATATGATTGTATTTTATGATTGCATTGTTGTGTGCTGCTGTTGTGTTTCATCGGAGCTTGCAGTAGTTTGGTTCACTTCGAACTGATCCAGAGTTGGTTCACTTTGTGTTGTAATGTTTGCATCGTTGTGTACATTATACTAGGTTATATGTTTTCTTTTGCGAATAAGATTATGCCCAACTTCATCTGTTACTGGAATATCAGCCTGAAACAAGATAAATAAGCAATTAAAAAGTAAATGTCAAGTGTAGAATAATTTCAAGTTATTTCAGAGTTTCAAATCATGATAGTTACACTGCAGTAAACAGCAATGTGCATTTACCATTATAATAGGAACATAAAGAAGTCAGCTAGAGGACAATATAGAAAAGCACTCTGATTAAGTTGGATACCCACAGTACTCATACTATCGAAATATTTATTAACAAACTTGTACAAGGCCTCTTGTTGCTGGATTGATACACTTCAGTGCTTATGCAGAATGTATTCCACTGTAAGTATAGCAGAAGAAGATCCTCAGGTTACAATAGGCCAGAAACCAAAATCCCAAACACAAACAAAAAAATTTCAGATCAAACTGTAAAACACGATATCATGGACACAATAGTTGTTGCTATTTAGAGCTTCTTCCAAAATATGTGCCTAGTTAAAAGTCAACTTTAAAAGTGAAATCACATTGTCTTTTCCATTATCATAACCTCCCTGATGGCCTCAATTTGAAAGGTATGAAACTGCATTCAATAGCCATATTCAGTTTAAAACACCAGTTTCCTTGCACAAAATTCTGAAGTAAAACAAACAACATGGGGAAGATTCACAAATTTTGTACAAGTCTGAATCAAATAAGTAATGAAAAATGCAAGAAGCACAATAAGAAACTAGGTAATTAGACCCAGAGCAATCACAATAGCTTCTAGTTTTGGATCTCATTATTGGCTTCGTTAATAGTTGTTATAGAAAATGCCCAACACGTTCCGATGGTATGCTGTATAATAAAAAAGGATTAATAAAAAACTTTATGTAACATATTACCAAATAAATAATAATAAAAAAAATATCAGAGTTAACTCACAGCACTGATCTCCATGCCTTCCCATACCAGAAATCTCTGCAGGTCACTTCACCTCAAACATTCCCTTTTCCATCCATTACAATAGTGCCTGGCACCAGTATTAATCAGCTTGCCATCTTCACCAGTAAGATAGGATTTATAATTCTTTTTTATATGTATTGGTAATATAATTCAGTGCTATTGTTAACTTTTCCATTAGTTCCCCTTATTTTGGGTTATTTAAGAATTTAATTATACTGTATTGCATTGTCTAGGGAAATATTAATGGAATCTAACATATATGCCATATTAAGGTGTAAGTTTGACTCTGTTTGATTATATCTCGTGTTACCAGTTAGCAAAAATACTAGTTTTGGCCAAATTTACCTCAAACATCTTCAAGTTCTTCTCCAATTACAACAAAAAGCACTGGCCTATTGAAAATGTCTGAATAAGGAAGTACTAACCGAAAAAAAACAAAACAAGAAAATGAGCTATCAGTGAAAATCAAATATGAAATTATGAGATTTTTCTTTTTAATTTTTTTATGAACAGATATGTAAGAGGACAGTACATATTTACCGCATTTTACCACCTTATGTTCCAAAATTTGATGGAATTTTTTATTTGCATTACAGTCTAAAATGGCATTTGCAGAAGACTTTAAATCGATGAAGGTTGCCATAAGCTGTCATCACTTGAAATAAAACATATGAAGAACAATAAATACCACAGAATTACTCCTATTTTTATATATCATACGATCCATTCTACTAATGTTAAAGTATCACAATGAAGACACTGAACAGATTACTCATTACNATAGGAGTATCATATGAAACGAATTGACTAGTTTAGCTATATGTAAAGTTTTTGTCTTCAAATTTTAATTCAAGTTCGATGAGAGACTTATCTTCCATCGAATTTCCAGATGATGAATCTCATGTAAAGTTCAGATTGAACTAAATCATTCTACACGCAGCTGAATCCCAAAAAAAAATAAGTAATAATAATCTAGCAGAGTTCATCTCCTTAGAAGACCAGCTGAATTTTCTTGTTACACCTAACATCCTAAATCACCCTACCTTTTCAGAAGATAGTTGGCCTCTTATCTAACTAATATATTTATCAGGGCAAACCAAGAAAAAAAAAGGGTTCTAAATAAATCTACTTGGTCAAAGGAAGTTAACCTAATTAATACTTTCAATTACATCCAAGCAAAATCCAGAACACTTCTCATCAATTTAATCCCTATAAATATGCCACCGGAATTGTCAATCAATATCGAACACCAGATTCCATAACCCAAGAAATTAAAAAAGAAAGGGAGTTGTCCTAACCCAGATTCATCAATCAAATGGCAGCCTCGAAGTCTTACCTTGTCTTAACTTTACTCATGGTGATATCAATCTTGAACCTTCACGCCAGCTGTGGCGCCCGGAACCTGTTGCAAGCTTCTCAACCCGCACTGCCCACAATCCCTTCACTGCCTAAGCCCACACTGCCACTGCCCACCATCCCATTGCCTACACTACCAACAAATCCATCCCTTCCGCAGTTGCCAACATTGCCGACACTTCCTAACGCCATTCCTAAGATGGCTCTGCCTCCACAGCTTGCAGCCTCACTGCCTACTATGCCTTCTTTCCCGAACCTCCCGACTACAATTCCCTCTCTTCCTTTCCTCTCATCACCGCCTTCGAACTAGTTTGTCTCACATCATCATTCAACTGCTTGTCGTTTTCGTTCAGTGTATGATTGTATTATATTATCGCAGTGTTGCGTGTTACCATCTTGTTCATCGGATCTTGCAGTAGTTCGGTTCACTTCGAACTGTTCCAGAGATGGGTTACTTCATATTGTGTTTCATTGGTGGTTTGTATTGTAATCACTGCATTGTTGTGTAAATTATTTTCAGTGATACATGATCTCTTGTGAATCAGATTATGCCATTTATTTCTTTTTCTCGTATCACCACTCAACTTCTTCATCTGTTACTGACACATTTTAATTCCTCTAATATTTATCAGCCTGAGACAAGGGAAATAACCTATTAAGAGGTACTTGCAAGATCTCAATATCAAGTATAGAATAATAATGAGAAATTATTTAAAAATTTCAAGTAATGACAGATGCTCAGCAGTAAACAGCAATTTGCATTAACCAATATAGTAGGGACATAAGGAAGTCAGCTAAAGGACAGTAGAGAAAATCGCTCTCATTAAGTTGGATACCAACATCACTGATAAAACTGGCACCATATGCAATTTTATTAGTAACTAAATGACATGGAAAATCACGAGGCAGACTGGAAATTTCTGGAAGTCATGTGAACTGTATCACTTTCTATATAGCAAAGTACTCATAATAGTGAAACAAATATTAACAACCTTGTACAAGGCCTCCCGTTGCTGGATTGATGTACTTCAATGATTATACAGAAAATATATTTCCACTGTCAGTATGATAGAAGAACCTCAGGTTACAATAGCAAAGAACCAAAAATTCCAAATGTCAACATAAAAATTTCAGATCATACTTTAAAACACAATATAATGGGCACAACTGGAATTGCCTCTTAGAGCTTCTTCCAAAATCTGTGCCCCGTTACTTAAAAAGTCAAGTGAAAATAACATTGTCTTTTCCATTATCCTAAGTCATAACCTCCCTGATGGCCTCAATATAAACTATAAAACAGAAAGCACCGCAGGCAGGCAGGCAGCAACAGGATAGAGTTAATACACTTCATGTCAATGCCACTCAACCAACAACAAATTCCATATGGGTAGTAAATAAAAAAATAAAAAAAATAAAAGCTTGAAAAAAATAAAATGCACACTCCACATTTCCAAAACTCATTCCTCAAATTCAATATGAAAGCAAGTCTTCATTGCCATAACATACTACAAAGATATTCAGAAATCTGATACCACTAACACCAAGGGCATAGAAAAATTATATCTTTCTTGCAGTTAGTGAATAATACAAACCAATGAACATAGATGCAGGCTCACACAAGTCATCCTGCGACTTTGCATATATCCTCATACTCGACGGCCTTGAGAACCCTCCCATCATATATCCCCTTCTCAATCTGCACCTTCGCACAGAACCTATCTGCATCAATAGCCAGCAGCCTCGCCCGCTCCCCACGGTACGCCCCATTCACTATCCTCACAAGCCCTCCTATTTGCGGAAGAACAGTCTCAAGCTCTTCCTGATCGATCCTCAAGACATGCTTGTTCTCGAGCATCTCAATCTCTCCGTAATATTTATCAATAACCCTCCGAACAACACCCTTCTGCTTATAGTACCCTTTATCCGCCAAAGTTTTGCTCATGACTTTCACGATAATACCCTCACACAGCCAGTAATCCTTTCGATTGCTCCTCTCTTTCGCTTTTTCCTCCTCCTTCATCAGCTCCTCCAAAGCCGATGCATTTTTCTTGCTCGAACTCTCACCTTCCCTTTTCCGTTTCCCGCTGTTACTGCTCTCTTCATTCTCCTCATCAAACAAAAGCCTCGAATTATTATTCTCCGTGTTCTTTTTCAAGGCCCCCAGACTAAGTTTAATTTTCCTTTCGCCCTCCTCGCCATTATTTTTCTCCAGGATTCTGGGTTTAGTTTCTGTTTCGTCGTTTTCGGATCTGGCCGAGGTCGTCGAGTTCATCTGCTCGGCCCGCTCGATCTGCCTCTGGATCTCCTTCTCCATCTTCTCCTCGTCGGCAATGTCGGCCTTGATCCGCTTGTTCTTTAAGCGCTCCTTGAACATGGTCTCCGAGTCACGGTCGATGTAGGTGATGAACCAGCCCTTGGGGGTCTCCTCGACCTTGCACTTGCCTGTGCGGCCGAGGTGCTTGACAAACTCGGTGAGGGTGGCCCACTGGGTGGAGTTCATGTGGATGTGGTGGCGATCGGAGATGTACTCGTTGTAGACGACGGTGGCGGCGATGCGGCTGAATCGGTGGCTGCGCTTCATGTGTTCGAGGAAGGTGGTCTCGAACTCCTCCGAGTAGCCGTCGATGATGCGGGTGGGGTTCTGGCCGAAGACCTGCATCTGGCGCTGGTGGGATTCGCTCATGCAGTGGCACTTGAAACCGTTCTCGTCCCGGCATTGCTTCTGGCACATCTGGCAGTACCACCGGAGCTTCTGGAGGCCCTTGGCCTTGATCCGGTTCGCGATCGCCTTTGGGGTAAGGAATTCGTTCTTTCCCATGAAGAAATTTTGGGGGATGGATTTGAGGGGATATGGATTAGGCTAGGGTTTGAGCGATTTTGATTTTTTGGGTTCACGGTGATTTTATGACGGGATGATGGCAGTGATTCCCATTCTATAACTACAGGTCCAATTTCATTTAGGATTTAGGAACTAGTTCAGAAGTCCTAATTATTAAAAAAAAAATATATGTATATTTTCAAACTTCAAAGGTATTTTTATTAGATAAAATAAAATGTAATGTTATAATTGATCGATGAATCCCAATTGAGGTAAAATTAGATCTAAAAACTTTACGAATGAAATTGTATCAAGAATCTAAAAATAATATTTTAACCAGCATAGGCTCATAAGCTAACAAATTATAAATTTTAACATAATTGCTAAACAATTTTTTTTCCCAAACAAAAATCAATATATAAAAGCTCAAACCAAGTTCAAGCGGACATCAATTAAGTACAAACTAACTAATCTAGCAAGCTAAAAAGGAAAGTGAACAGGCATACACAACCGATAAGCCCTCAAAAACCACACAGGGTTAAACAAATGATTCAATCTGACTTTCTCGGTATTCTGGATCGGATCAGCTTTCAAAAGTCCCGAGCCTCAACTAAACAGAAGTCAAAGTCATTATGAAACTGCATAATATCGCAAATCACCCCAGACATTGAAAATTTTAGCGCTCTGTAAGAATAAAGCTGGAGTAGGGTTTCTTCATCTGGAATGTTGCACTCAATTTTCTTCCACTTCCTTCTTGTAGCTCCATCTAAAGCTCCTCTGACTGCTAGCAAGACTGTAGTATGAATATCATCAACCTCAACTTCTTCTTTCTGCCATTCTTCAATTAATATTCCATCTATGTCGGCACAACACTTCCATCTCACTGTTCCTCCAGGATGGCATATGACACTTACTTATAAAGTCACAAGTCCTACCCTATTGGAAAATTGCCTCCTTTTGTATTCGGTGTATGGTTCCTCCACAATCTTCTTTTGATCACCAGCAGAGAACTGAGTAAGTTTCTGCCAATCCTTTTTAGCCCCTTCCACCACTTTACTTTCTATGAATGGCTCATTTCTAAAAAGGTTACTGTTTCTAGCTTTCCATAATCTCCACATCTATCATTATATAAAAAGAATAACTTTTTTACAAATTTAGAAACTTTTTCCCGCCAAAATCATTAAATATATCCTAATATAGTAATTGTTGGACAAATCTGAATAGGCAAAAAAATCGGCTCATTTTTTTTAGTTTATCAAAACCGTTGTTTGACAATAAATATTTGTTTTTCTTTTTCCTATTTTTAGTATAAATCTACACGCTTATCTCTTCTGTTACAAAATCCCATTGCATACGATCTCACGTATTTAAAAAATCTCATCCTTTATCTATACAGATTTAAAAAAATAAAATAAAATAGAAACCAATTCATAATTACTATTAGAAATTCATTATTTTTAAAAAGAAAAAATAAAATAAAATAGAAACTAATTCATAATTACTACTGAAAATCCATTATCTACTTTAAGAAGCTAATTTTCATCGGTCTAATTACTAATATTTTTACAAATATTATAAGCTAACCATACAAAAAAGTATAATAATAATTTTGAAATGGTGTGATCAAATTTTTTTATATTCTCTTATACAAAATAATTTTACATTATTTGACCCCGAATCTTTAATTTATAATTATTAAGTATTGTTTATCCTCCTCTTTAATTTATAATTATTTTTTTTGCTTCCTCTTTTTAAATAGGAACAATAGTAATTTCCACTTCCGTCATTGAGTGGTTCAAACTCGAGGTCTATTTATAATATTATTAATTTAATATTGTTTCCGTGCATCGCACGGGGTATACACTAGTGAGACATAAAGAGAGCAAAATTCTATCTTTCATTTTCTTGAACAAAGAGCTACCACAAATATCCTCCCACCAATCCTTGATCAACTTATGTTCCCCTTGAAAAGTTGACCATTCTATATCCATGAATTTCCAATAGAGTTTGGCTTTACTACACTTGTAGAACAAATGTTCAGCATCTTCTTGATCTTGCCCACAGATGTTGCAAATGATATCCAAGTGTACACCCCTTCCTGCCAGTTGAATCTTATTGCCCAAGAAACCATGATAAACTCTCCACAAGAAGTTTTAAACCTTAGGTTGAAGTGGTAGTTCCAAGTTCTAACCCACATTTTCATAATCATCTTTCCCCTGCTGTTGGATTGAGCCTGACTCTGTAGACTTGCCTTATAAGCAATGATGTTGTTGTATACAGAATTGACAGAGAATGCTCCTCTAGACCCAAAATGCTACACAAACCGATCTTTTTTCTGCAAGTGACTTACTTGGATTTTCAGAATAGCCTCAACTTCAAAGGGACTAAACCTTTGTTCTATAAGATCTTTATCCCAAGATTTTCCATCTTCTAACAGCAACTCACTAACTTTCAGAATTCTACCGCTATCACCCTCAAACTGACTAGAAGGTTTAAAACAGGGAATAGAAAGAATCCATGGAGACTTACAAAATGGGCAATTGCATAATAAACACTTGATAAAATTTGAGTAAAAAATTTGCAAAAACTTTATAGAACTTTAGGTCTAGAATATTCTATAACTATAGATCCAGATTCAGTTGGGATTTCGGAACACACCTAGTTAAGAAGTCCTATTTATTACAAATATATGTATATACTTTGATGGAGAATATCCCGTAGCTACAAACTAAGAGCTTAAGAATTATAAATGAGTAAGTATGGGAAATACAAATATAAACATACATTCAAGTGACAAAATTTAAAGATTGGCTTACTAAACTACACATGAGAATATTAATTACATCTTCTTAGGCATGATATCCTACTACTAACTCTAACAGTCTCTCTGCCAAACTCTCTAAATTTCTACATTAGAGTAGAGTAAAATCGACATTAACGTAGAGTAGAAGACTAGAGATGGTCTTATTACTTTTTCTTCGTCGTAAACTTTTGATCTTTTTGTTCTGCTTCTTTTTCTCTAGTTGATAATGCAAATTTGGAACTATATATAATTTGAATTTTCTATATCTACATTACTAAGTGGTTTGATATGTTGAATTCTTAAACCTTGTATACCAATCGACACAGAAAGTAAATTTTGAGAAGAAGAAAGTCTTCACCCTTTTATACTTCTATGATTTTTTTAGTAGAAAATTTGATAAATATATAGTTGCTCGGTTGATACGAATGCTCTAGAATGGTTTCAATGTTGTATATGTATAACTTTTATAATTAAAATCGGTGATTTATTTTTTAAAAAAAAAATAATTATGGAGATAAAGCACTCTCTTTTATTTTGTAGTGCCTTTAGCGAAAATATTGAGGTTAAATGTTTTCAGTCCCACAATTATATTGTGTTATTAGATTTTGACTTTGACCTTGTCAACAATGTATATTAGATGATCTTCGTGTAGCAAGAAATGAAGTTGTTTCAAACTTTTTCTTTTGTACGTTTTTCATTGACAATCTACCATAAGAGGTGAAATTTTTTTCTACCTCTTCTCTGTCTCTTTGTATGTTGTCGATGACCTACCATAGTTTGCATTGCACTGTAAGATGGAGCAAATATTAATCACAGATGGTGAACTGGGTCGGAAATTCTTAATTAAGATTATGTTGAACTAAAATTGTAATAATGTCGCTTTGGCCGAGTGGTTAAGGCGTGTGCCTGCTAAGTACATGGGGTTTCCCCGCGAGAGTTCGAATCTCTCAGGCCACCTGCGCCAGATACAACCTCCGTTGAGCAGCTATGCGGCAACTCGGTCCCGTCAATATGCTCTCCTACTCACTTCACGCCACGTGTCCTAACTATCAACCCTACAAAGAAAAGGTCAAATTTTTTTTTCTCACATTCATTCAAACTAGTACAGAGCCCTTGCGATGCACGGGGTGCACAATTTTAAGGCTATTTATTCAGGCTTATAATTATATACATGAATAAAGAAAAATGTACGGGATATATATAGTACGTGACCCGTGCGAAACACGGGATATATTTATTTGGAGAATATTATATTATAAGATGCAATATTCAATAAGAGTTTATAATACGCAAGAAAATTGTACAATGTTCAATAAAAGTTTTATAATATTCAAGTGGAGTCTTAAAGTCTCTTGTACATTAAGACTACTGACAAAATAATATTTTAATCAATGAGTTTCTTTTCCTTGTAGCCAGATTGTGAATGTGATTTGAGGAGTACAACAAATCGATATATAGTCGACTTGCTTTTTTCATTGTAGTTTTTTTTTCCTTTTTTTTTTAATAATGAATTTAAAGATATTCCAAAATATAGGAAAAATTATTTTTTTTATTACAATTAAGAATTTTACTAAATATAGACTCTCAATCTATGGTGTTAATAAACGTTTAAGTCTAAAAAATTAGGAATTTTTACCTCTTTTAATCAACGTTTAAGTCTAAAAAAAAATAGAGTTATTATAAGTTTTTTTTCTACATCTTTTAAAATATTAAATATGAGCATGTTAGGGCTAGCTTGTAAAATAATTAATATATTATCTCACTAAAACATTTATACTAATAAAAAATTAATTTTAGCATATAAATTTATCCCTTGATATAAGAGAAAGTAACAGTTTTACTTATTGTTGTTCACCATATAATATTTAATTATTATTTTATTATATAATAAAAAAGGTATATTGTTAAATAGTGTAGCAGAATTGTTATAAAATTATATGATTTTTTTTTTACAATATGGATTTAATATTTTTTTATGATTTGATAATATAAACAAATCTATACTTAACTTTGACAAATAAAAAAACTAAATACTTTAGTAAGTATTTAATTTATATACTAAATAGGAATATATTTGGTATAATCAAATACCAAATATAATCAAATAAGTCAAAGTGTACATTTTTATTTGGTATTTGATTTTTTTATTATTAAAATCTTTTTATTATACTTATCTTTTTAAAATAAAACAAATATATAAAACAATTAAATAAATAAAATATTATAGTACCAAAATAGTAATGGCATTTAATGCAGTTGA